TTTTAAAATGATTGCATGCCTTATTATCCAAAAGTTGTTTGAAGTTTCTCGAGATTTTTGTGCTATATATGCATGAAAAGTTCGATATTTTTATAATATGTGTTGTGAGTACTTGCGTGTCAATGGGGATGTACTACGGTATGATTTTGTAAAGACGAGCATGCTTTGTGAGCTTGTCTAAACCGTAAGTGCGAACATGCTGTGTGAGTTCGCCAGGTGATGCTGTGTGAGTTCGCCAGGTGATGCTGTGTGAGGTAGACATCTCCCATGACGCCGTTGCTTTGTGATGTAGACACGCACTATACTATATTTATTTTGTGAACAGTGTTATTCTTATCAAGGCATGCTAAATTTATGAAGCTTCGTGAAAATTGTTCATTGTAAAAGTTGTTGTTCATGCGTCAAAACCGTGGAGTCACTGGGCGTAAAGCTCACTCAAAACTCTTTTAAAACTTTTTCACCCAGGCGGCTATTAGACTGGAAAAAAAAGTTGGATAAAGAGAGTTATAAGGATTAGCATCAAAAAACATGTGCAGACCAAGACATTGTTATATAGAGCAAAATTATGCTTCTTAAGTTTGTAATTTAGATGGTGATATAAATTGTAAGATTAGAAATTTTATTTCCGCTGCAATGTAAGTGTTGATCTTGGGATACTCATTATGATATATTTAAGTATTCGGAAATTTTGGGATGTTACAAAAAACATAAAAAAAAGTTAAACATATTTACCGCATCCATCGCAGGATCCTGCTGCGGCATAAACCACGTACGCACAATCCAATATAAATTATAAAATTTATTTAATTGTTAACTTGTAAAGTAAAAATATCAATAAGCTTAAACATATTTACATCATCACTCTGCCAATATTTGTATAGTGTATAGTCAGCGTACTGGTTTTGACACATTGTTCTCAAACTTTTTAAGTCTCGCGTTGAGAAACCCATATTTTTCGTTTATAACGTATGTTATTGGCGCGATATTTTCATCGACACAATGACTCCATTGGTTAAATTCAACACACCGTTGAGGGATGTCGGTATATGTCGTAGATGAATGTCGTTGTTGTAGCTTATACCATGGAGGTTGTGATGTGTGTGCTGCAACCGATTGACGCGCTTCAGATGGTGTGACATCATCGTCATCATCATCTTCGTCACCCATGCCATGATCTAGGTCCGGCTATCCATCACGATTGTGCACCCAAAAGGCCCTACTTTCTTTCCACCATTGGGTCTGCTCCTTCAAAGGTGTCATCACCAATGAGGTCAGGAGTCGAAACACATTATGAAAATATACAAGTCAATATACTATTTTTTTTAACATAAATATTATAATTAAACCTAGTAAATTTAAATTTATAATAAAATGAAATGGAACTTGTCGATTTTCCCGAACTCGCAACACTCTTCCCCTTGATGTTTCTCATCCTTTTCCATTCAATGACCTGCGGGATTGACGGATTATAACGAATATAGCTTTGACCACTTGGAAAGGTCTCCAAAATCTAGATATGATAGGTTAAAAAAAGAATATTGTGAGAAAATGTCAATTAATCCGTAAATAAACAACGACAACCGACCTTGAAGGCGTATACGAAACCATACAATTTATACTTGTTGGGAGTCTAATTTTTATGCTTGCGACGCTGAAAAGCATTCCTCAACTGCTTATACGTCAAACACCATATCCCCATGATTATTTGTTCTAGACATCCACAACTTCAACCATATGTAAAACCCAGTGTTGGACAATGTGGTTTTCTTTCCATCCTAGAAATATCGTATGAAGGATGATTACGAGGCACACACGTACCACATCCTCATTTGATATGTCTTTATTATTTAAGTCGATTAATTTATTTATAAAATGATCGACTTTAATCTTAGTATGTTTAATCATTTTACCAAAGAATCTTGTATTTATTGAGGGAATGATACAATATGGCGGGAGAAACTCGGGCTCAAATCGAAGACCTGTGATCAAGCAGAGCTCATGTCTGCTAAACCATAAATGGAACCCTTCAACACGATAATAGATTTCTTCGGATTGAGAAGGGAAAGAGAGGTCCTCAAAATATTGCACCATCCAATTAATTAATGATTGATCTTCATGTGGGTTAGGTATATTTAACCATGGGCCGAAACACGTCTATCTAAACAATTGGAACCTCCTTGGATTATTCTTTGATTTTTTGTTAATTTTTTTAATAACTTGTATTTGGGTCCTCAATGTCACTAAACTTTGGTATAACAACTCTTAAAAAAAATAATAAATTAAATACTGTACACAAATAATCTAAACAAAAATAAAAAATAGATTATTAAGTTAAATAGTAGATAAAAATACTAGACAAAAATAGATTATTAAGTTAAAATAAAAAAAAATTACAATTTTCTTACAAGTGATTCCATGATATATAACGGTGGCGGTGGTGGACTTCCGTATACGATCTATGGTGGAAGATGTCGGTGGACGATGGTGGACGTCGGTATACGATGGATATTTACGGTGGTCCGTGGTGGTAGAAAATGGTAGGAATGGTGCCCTCTCATCCTATTTTTATACAAAATTGTCCCTATTAAGACAAAATAAGAGTCAAAAGCGCCCTCAATATGTCGTCACATCGTCATTGATGTGTCAAATCAAACATAAAGTTACGTCATAAACTGTCTTCACTAGAAGAAAAAATACTGGTCAAAATCGCCCTTGGGGAGTGATTTGCATGATTTGAGGGCGATTTGCATGGGGTTTTCTTGAAAAATTAGATTTTTATCCTCCCCAAATGGTATGTATGTGGGACCCATCCGTACCTCAAATAAGGCGTCCCAAATAAAGTAAATATCCCTCTATGGACGATTTTTGTGGTCATTTTGTGAGAAATGTCTGAATAGTGGTTATTTTGTTAATGTAATATGTATAAAATGGTCATTTTGGGTAATTTCCATATATATATATATATATATATATATATATATATATATATATATATAGAGGAAGGATCATGCGAAAAGTTAAATATTTCGCAAGAAGGCAAGAAATGTGATATCATTCACACACACACACACACACACACATATATATATAGAGAGAGAAAGACCAAATCATAGACTCCCTGAACATCAAAGACGGACTAAATCTCCACCCAAAATCACAGACCAGATCTCCGACCAAAACATCAACAAGGGACAGACCCATGAATTTTCTTATACAGTGGCACCATATAATATAGAACATTCAGAAACTCATTTTTACCAAGCATTTCTCTTCATAAAATTTGTATACATGCGAGATGCTGCCTGTAGGACTCGTAAGGGGGCTCAACACCCTTGCCTCTTGCCATACGGCACCATGCATCCAACAATTCCCGGTTCTAATTAGCTTACACGACTATGCACTCCATACCTCCAATTACATAAAATGAACCGACAATTTCACTAAAATCACCAACAAATGATGATTGGACACTTTCTCTCTCGACCCTTCCCTTTCTGGCTAGACGGTGTTAACTATTATTTGATACTTACTACAAAAAAGTGATTTTTATAGAACGTCTAAAATGTAGAAGTGTCATAAAATAATAATTTATTGGACTTAATTATAGGATCAAACCAAAAAACGTCGTATCTAAACAAGTTACAATAGGTTTATATGATACTTTTAAGCGTTTTAACAAATCATTTAGGACACTTTTAAAAAAAGATGTCGTATTAACTATTTTATACGACACCATTTGAAAAAAAATGTCAAATATAAGTGTCTTATAAAAAGATGAGTTTATAGGATACTTTTCCAAAGTGTCATGAAATAGCAAATATGACATTTTATTTTAAAAGTGTACTAAAAACCTTGTTAAAACATCCTATAAACTTATTGTAACAGTTTTAGATATGACGTTTTATAGTTTGATCCTAAAAAACTAAGTTATATAAAGTATTCTATGATGACACTTAGACAATCTAGACGTCCTACAAAAGTCAGTTTTGCTGTAGCTAGTGACTGAACAATTTTTATATGAACCAAATAATTTGGTAAATTTTTTAATGCAATTTGGCAATTTTGAATACGATGTTAAATGTTGTGTATTGAAAATAGATATTGTAACACATTTAATTACATGGTTATCACCAGGAAACACTAAAAATTATTGACAGGCCGACATATTACCGACAAAACCGCAAGTGTACACCAAGATTACCGACAACCATACTATCGATGAACACTTCCGTCGGTAAACAAAGTGGTTGGGATACGATGGTACTTTGTCAATAACTCGTGGTTACCGAATCTATATTTTCATTTTAGTGACGAACATTCCGTTGGTAATACCCTGCTAATTTTAGAAGTCCGTTGTTAAAAAATATATGGTATTTTTGGTAGTATTTTCGTCTAGAAGTTTGTCATAATTTTAGTGCTTATTTACAACAACGAAGATTATAACAACTTATTTTAATGGTTGTAGTGAATCAAATAAATAGTTTACTTTAATTTAGTAATTTTAGTAAGGGGCTGTTAACCTAAATGCTTACCCTGTAAGCGTTTACTGTTAGGAGTCAACACTATACTTTATTATCTAGGTAAGATTGTAGTATATTAAAATGGTATCGTGTGCAACAATATATATATGGTAAGCGCTTACCCGGGTAAGAGTCGTCACCCTCACTTACCGGGTAAGACTCTCTATCCTTATCATCGCTCTTACCATATAAGATTCTTGGGTCTTGCCATGTTCGTCGAGTGAGGAAAATTATCCGGTAAGCACCTACTGGATATTGTTGTTTCGCGAAACATAGAAGAGTTTGCCATGTTTTCCTCGAGTACCATTCACCATGATAAGAATGTTAGTGGAAAGTCAAGGAATTCATCAGTCACTGTCTTTTCCTTTGTAAATCTAGGGTTGTAAACTTGCCACATGATTAAACTGAACTCTATATAAACCAAACAAATCCTTCATCTTAACATCCAAAACAAAACATCTATCTGCATTTCTCTCTAAAATGGAACCTTCTGCTTACTCGGTATCATTAGAAATTCAGAATGTTCAGGAGGTGGAGATCACATCCCACGGACCAGCACTTTGTTACCATGAAGAAGAAGTAAAACCTATCAGTGGTGTTTCTTTGACATGGAATGACTTGTGGGTTACGGTGGCCGATGGAAAAAGTGGTGGAAGTCGATCCATACTTCAAGGTGTTACGGGTTATGCCAGACCTGGAGAGATCCTAGCTATTATGGGTCCTTCTGGTTCCGGCAAATCCACTCTCCTTGATGCCTTGGCAGGTATTATATATAACTATTGGGTTCAAAGAATTGAAACTCGAACCGTATTCGAAAACGTATATATAGTTATCATGCACATGTATCTGGATCTCATATCTAGTTCGGATTAAAAATTAATGCTTTGTAACGATCGTAAGAAAGATATGATCGAAAGTATTAGGAATAACCAACCGTCCAGGGGAAGGGTGGGCTGGGCATCCGTTCAGGACCGACAAAAAATAGGGGTCCAAATTCTTAGATAATAATAGCCTCTCTAGGTTTTTTTTATCTCTCACTAACTTTTTTGATTATTTGATTTGAATAAATTCTACTTTCGGTATTAGAATATGGTAGATTTTTTGTTATTAATTAAGAAAACTCATACCTTTTGAAAAAATTAAATTACCAACTATATGAGACGGTCTAACTTAAATCTATATTTAAGATTTTAAAACAACCCTTGTTTTTTATACATGATTTCTTATTACCTAATATTTAGTGGATAAATTTCAATACTTTCATATCTCCAAAAGAAGAATAAGTCATCAAGCTATAACTAGCATGACTTTTTAATTCTAAGATTGATGGTTTCAAAAAAAATTGTTTTTTTTACCACAAGGGTGGTACATGATTCGTTTGAGCTTGACTTCAAAGATCAAAAATATCAAGAGGTCCCATGTTCAAATCCAAGGAGGAATAAAAATCTCCTTGTGACCACGGAGGTTCAAATGGGATGACTCGGGGATATCTGCAAAGCAGGTGGTTGTTCTCTGATTAGTCGGCTTTCATAGCGGGTTGGATATCCAGGTTAATAAAAAAAGTTTTCTTTTAACCCTAAAAGTTTAAAACGGTGATTAAAATGTTTAACCTCTTGTGAGATGGAAAAACCAACTGATTTATCTTAATTTATATATAACGTTTCTTAAAATAGTCATCGTTATTACCTCAAATGATGTCGATCTATATATTAAAGATGTATCATTGGATTTTTCTTTTACGGTGGAACAGACTGAAGATGCTATGTAAATGATATAGTAGATAATATTAATTAAAAAATAATTATTGATTGATTTTGTATCTAGGAATACGCGGAATACGCGGAAAAAATGTTTTATATAAATTATTAGTATTGATTTAATTTAATTTTATTTCTAATTATAAAAAGCTAAAGTAAACACCATGACCAATCAATTAATATCTGGATTAATATTTCGAATTGCAGGTAGACTAGACTCAAAGACCAGGCAGAGTGGAGATATTCTGGTTAATGGATTCAAGAAATCTTTAGCATACGGAACATCGGTAAGCCCTATTAAATATGTAGAAAAGGGACACATAAATGAAACGACGATGAATACAATATGTAGAAATATATGTGCCAAATTACCCATCTCAGGAATTCTAAAAAAACTGTACATATACAGGCTTATGTGACTCAAGACGAGACGCTCATCACAACACTTACTGTTCGAGAAAGCGTCTACTATTCTGCACAACTCCAGCTACCAGACTCCATGTCAAAAGCTGAGAAGAAAGAGAGAGCTGAAATGACCATAAGAGAAATGGGCCTTCAAGATTCCATGGACACRAGGATYGGAGGGTGGGGAGCKAAAGGMYTGAGTGGAGGCCAAAAGAGRCGAGTTAGYATTTGCATYGAGATCCTAACTCGTCCWAARCTYCTGTTCCTTGACGAACCAACGAGTGGCCTTGACAGTGCCGCCTCATACTACGTGATGAGCAGAATTGCAAGGCTTGATCAACACCAAGGAAGGACCATCGTCGCATCCATTCACCAGCCTTGCAGCGAAGTCTTTGAGCTTTTCCATAATCTTTGCCTTCTTTCTTCTGGAAGAACAGTTTATTTCGGGGATGCTAACTTTGCCAAGGAAGTAAGCGTTAAGCAAGCATAACAAACAATCTTCAATTCTTCCCTACTCGGTTTTCAGTGTTCGATGCACAAAATGGGCATTAATTCGTCATGAATATCAGCTAATTTTGTCTTGCTTTAAACGCAGTTTTTCTCTTCAAATGGCTTCCCTTGCCCCAGTTTCCAGAATCCATCTGATCACTTTCTTAGAACAATAAACAAGGATTTTGATGAGGTATTTAGTGGACACTTCTTTATACATGGTTATAGAGTTCTTGTACCTATTATATATCGAGTGTAATCGAAGATTTCATTGAAATTGTAGGATATCGAACAAGGTTCATCTGGAAGAAAGCCTACCGAGGATGTGATTAATAGCTTAATAGATTCATACAAGTCATCTACTACTTTCCAAGAAGTTAACAGTAGAGTTGCTGAAATATGCAAGAAGGTGAGCTAGAATACATAGATAACAACGTTTAATCGTTTTAATTATACATTAGTTGGATTGCAGTAGGATCAACTATGAAGATGAATAATTTCATGGCAATTTCTCAGGGAGATGGAAGACTAGAGAAGAAGACAAACCATGCTAGTTTCTCAACACAATGCTTTGTACTCACGAGGCGATCTTTCATCAACATGCATCGTGATCTTGGCTACTACTGGTTGCGCTTTGCTATCTATATAGCATTGTCATTAGGTCTTGGAACACTCTTCTATCATGTTGGCTCAAGTTACAGTTCAGTTGAGGTGAAAACACTAAATTCATATATTCTTAACAATACAGCCGTAGAATCGATGTAATTCATGCAATATTAATATACGTATGGATACAAACTTGCAGGCTAAAAGCTCAATGCTGATGTTTGTGGTCTCATTCTTAACATTCATGACCATTGGCGGATTCCCCTCGTTTGTGGAGGACATGAAAGTATTCGAGCGTGAACGATTGAACGGACATTACGGGACTGGGGCTTTCGTTATTGCCAACACGCTATCTTCAACGCCATACTTGTTACTGCTATCCGTGATTCCAGGGGCATTAGCATATTACCTAACTGGACTTCGTGAAGGATTTGATCACTTTGCATACTWCKCWTCCAYACTCTTTKCTTGTATGYTGSTRGTTGAGAGCCTAATGATGATTGTTGCGAGTCTTGTACCAAATTACTTAATGGGAATCATARCRGGTGCMGGRATYCAGGSYTTMATGATTTTAGGTGGCGGATTCTTTCGTTTACCCAATGATTTACCGCACCCTTTTTGGAAGTATCCACTGTTCTACATCGGATTTCACAAGTACGCGTATCAAGGACTGTTCAAGAACGAGTTTGAAGGAGGAGAGTATGTATATAACAATGGAGGAGTGCCTAAAACGGTGGACGGAGAGTATATACTTAAAGCTACATGGCAAGTTGAAATGGGTTACTCCAAGTGGATTGATTTGGTGATCTTATTTGGGATGGTGGTGATTTCTAGGGTTTGGTTTTGGGTTATAGTCAAGATTGTTGAGAAGGTTAAGTCTGATATACGAGGTTTGCTGTTTGGTGTTCCAAAGAAGCAGAGAATGCAAGTGATGGTAAATCCTCTTGCCACGCCTTCGCACTAAGTAGTTCATCAACTGATGGTAGTAGCTTTTTGTAACCCAATACTATATACATAAACGTTGGTTATATATGCATTAGGATGTACACCAATTTGAACTTAGTTTCCTTTCAGAAAATTACGCTAACATACTTTCGATTATGCTTGTTTAGGTAATCAGTCTTGGATAAAGATTATGTATGTTATAGTAAAAAAAATGTAGTAGTGTTTTCTATGAACAAACACAGGAATATCAATAGTAAAACACAGTTTATGTTTTCGTTAAGCGCTCATATAACATGTCAATGATTCATTAAGCGCTCATATAACATGTCAATGATAATCCAACTTGATTGTGTGTTTCAAGATGATCATTTCTCCTACCTGTGGCTTTGAAACCATATTTTCCCTTTCAGAACATAGAAAACCATGAGTATTACCTGAAAATAGTAATTAAAAAGATTGAATAGATATTTGAATGAATATCTTTTCTTGTGTTGTTGGACATCCAAGGTCAAGACTTCATTCAAGAATTAGGATTACATAACACCCGACCCTAAATTTAGAAAATAATAGTTAAATAAAACAATGGTAAGATACAGAATTCCTCCAAGATATAAAATTTACTTTCAAAAGATAAGCCATGGTTGCAAACTATTGTTGAACAAATAAACTACTAGGATTCTATCTAATTCTAAACCTAACTACTAAAACTAAATAGGAAACACAAATACCTATCAAATCTGCTATCTTCAAACTAGATGATGCCTCTAATTGCTCTCTCCTCAAGAGCCTCTATATAGCTCCCAACTCAACCTAAATCTCACGAGGACCTGATATACATGATGACGATAAAAAGTGTGGCTTAAAAGCTAGTGAGTTCAATGATTAGTTTACAATATAAACATGAAATGGTAAAACATAAGAGATTTATTTTAAACGATGATTTCTCAATTGAAATTAGTTTATAATAATGCAACACCTTTTCCCCAAAAATATTATTTTCCTAATGAAATCAAATATCCAAAATACACCCTTTCAGGATAAAACCCAATATCCATATCTTTAGGATAAGACTCACTATCCAAAACACACCTTTCAATGAGGGAGGAGACCCATATCCATTGAATGTGGTGAAATACAAAGTAAGTCATACAACAATGTTATCAAGTGTTTCATCTCAAGATCACGTTCCGGGTACGTGTCTAACACACAAGTTTTCACTGCAATACCAAAAGTTCTGATATCTGACTCTACACGAGTACCCACCATAATTCCCCCAACACGATCTAGGTGTCTACTCGTCCACAAGTGGAGTTACACCTTCTAAGCCGATGGTCTTGGAGGCAGAATTTACACGAGTTCATCTCTTTAAAACTCTCTGACTTAGTATTGACTTTACTAGGATACAACCTCAAAACAAAGGGCCTTGTGTCAGAACCCACACGAGTCATCACACGGCTAAAATTGATCCAGGTGACTTTTCATGTGACTCGAGTAGAATGAACAGTCTCATAAGAGGCTGGGAAGCATTTTTATTAGATTTTTAGCTGGGGTTTTGACCATTCTGGATACCTTACACAAACACATTTCTTGGGCAATATTAGCTAGGCGATTGAAGAGCGATTTTAGGGCCATGAAAAACGAGGATCACTATCGAGATTGAAGATTTAAAGCTAGAATCAATTATTCTAGTAGGATTCATCATCAAAAGAGAGTTTTTACATTATTTTAGATTTTGATTGAGAAACCATGTCCAAACTTATGATTTCTCTCCGTTTTGCTTTGTTTTCTACCACCAGCAACAAGAACTAATATTTCAATGTTGGCGGTTAGATGATTTTTTGTTTGTAAACATATGAACATGTAAAGTTGAGATTTTTATTAGTTTTTCAATTAATGAAGCATTTAGATTTGTTTTTGATGCTTTTGTTAGCCTCATCAACTATCAGTTGATTTAATTATTATAAATTAGCTATGAGAAAAGTATATTATAACGAAATTTATGATTCATATACCTAATGTGAGAACTTAAATGGAGATATATCAATTAAACCTTAGTACTTTCATACAATCTTGGCCTTCATGAAATGCAAAAGTTATAAGTTGAGATCAAAAGATAAAACTTGTTTCAAGGGATAAACCTTTTATAACTTGAGAGAGAGTAATACGTAATTATGAGATTGTGTATTCGTCTAAATTTTTAACCTGGTAATTATTGCAACTACAATGTTCTATGTGAAAATGTTATAATTCCATGTCCTAACTACTAGTCTCTTGAATTTACTTGAGTTTGACATTAGTTAAGTAGATATTTTAATTAATTAACCAAATTATCTTAGGCGACAGTCCAATTAATAGTAGTTATAGTTATTATGATACACTGTCTGTAGTTCCTCGGATCAATACTTGTAACTTCTTTCAACATCATACCTTTGCGGTTAAGGTTGTGATATTGGTATAATATGAACCAGTCATGTCGATTAAGATTGGCAATGCCGTATAAATAGAATCATAAGATAGCTTTACTGTATCAGTGTTAGAATATTGATGGACAAGATTACTCATTTGATAGTTGCAAAAAACATTTAAATGTTTAGAAAATATATTTAGGTTTGGAATACTATCACTATTAAAAAATAGACTTCTATCTGCAGATTTTTGCAGTAGATTTTCCGTTGGAAAATTAATAATAGGCTTCCTACGGATACAAAGAAATGTCAATTTTTGTTAACTTCCACCACAAATCTGCCACTAATTTTAAAAAAAATTAATATCGATTAACTTGTCGTGAATTTTTGTCGGCACATTCATTTGTTATCTTAAAATATCCGCCATAAATACACCACAAAATGGTATAATTTTAAAAAGTTAATTAACATTAATTAATTAAAATCAGTGACGGATTTGTATTAATTATTTTCTTTTAAAGTTGCCAAAGAAATTTGATAGATCACACCATCCACCGATAATCCACCAACAAATTAAAAGAAATGATTTAAAAATATTTAAAATAAAATCAGGTTGATTAATTTTCTGGTAGATTTTTAATGCATCGCATCATTCGTCGGTAATATCCCAGAAAATTCATCAACTTGATTTTTTTTAATAATTTTTGTGACAGATTTGTGGCGGGTTTTTAATAAAAATTGCATTTTTAGTTATTTTTTTCATTTTTTATCCGTAAATTATTTATTCTTATTTTGTTTACATATTATATGTGATATACTTTAATATATACCACATACTATGCATATCAATTATATATATGTGTGTGTTTTTCAATTGTTGTTAGTGAGCTGTAATAACTCATATAATGTTGTATTGGGCTAATGGGGTTAATATGATTAAAATATTATTAATAAACATATTGAGTTATAATTCTATTATCTAGTCCAATACATACCATATTAAACAAACATGTAATAAGATGTTGGTGTTATTGGACTTTAATAAGTCATAAAAAGTCTTATTTCGTTTTAATAGATTTTAGTAGTCTTATTGAACTTTAGTGGGTCTTAGCGGTGTTATTGAGACAAATACATATATGTTACATGTATACGAACACAGAATAAGTCACCAAGAATTATAAATGATCTTGTTGGGATTTAATGAATCTTAGTTGGGTTTTAATGAATATATATTGGATTTTATTCAGTTTTATTGTACTTTAATGGATATACGGAGATGAGTTTTACTAAACTTTATTCTATCTTATTGTAACATCCAATTTCTAATATGCCCAATTATTTGCTTAGTATATTTAATTATTGGGTTAAAGAGAACTTATGATTTAGTGGAAGTTTGGGTCTAAAGTTTTATAATTTTATTTCTTAAGAATATATTAGAGGATTTGGAAAATATCACGTCAAATAGATACGTAAAACGGATTTTCTTGGGAGATTTTTTCTAGAATATTTTTGTTGGATGTTATAGATTATCTCTTTATGAATAAGCGAAAACCTCATAGAAAACGGAGGTTCGAGCGAAAAGTTATGAATAATTTAAGTGTTGATGGTCAAAATGGGTACCTAGCCGGGCCAACCCGGCCCAACTCGACTTTTAGCATTATAAATTGGAGTTTTGACCCATTTTTCATGTCATCTAAGTCCAGAACTCACACACACACTAGAGGTGCGATTTTCACATACATAGGCTTGATTCAACTCAAATCAAAGAGGAACTACAAGATCTTTGAATGATTTGATCATCAAGTAAGGTATAATTTATTTTTGTACTTGTTTTTTGTTGATATTCTTGTTATATGGATTGCATGTTGAATTAGAGTTAGGGTTTCATATGGGTTTGATCTTAAGTGTATAAAATGAGTGCATTTTAGTGTTTTTGGCTTGAAATGGTCATTAGATTCAAAAGATTATCGAGATTTATGCAAGTTCATCATATGAACTTTGACTTGATTAAGTCAATGATTTGGGAGATAATATAAATGATAAAATAAAGGTTGRATTTTGGTTGTTTATGTCAAATATGTTATATTAAGTTTAGATTCAGAAGTTGGAATGGTTTGGAATCGAAATGGTTTGAGAAAAATGTTTGAAAATGAGAATTTCGACTTAAGAATGCATTGAAAGTATGCAGACTTTGAAAATCTGTATAAAATCATAGAAAAATCCAAATGATGTGAGGCCAATTTTTTTAGTTAGATATTTGAGTCTAGTTTATTTCTTATTTTATGATCAAGGAATGAATTCGAGCTTAAAATGGGCAAAACATTTCTGCATGCAGTAGTTGTACATAGAAATTTAGGTAAAATGTTCAAATATGATATGTGCATATCATGATTTTCTTATATTGATTGCTTATGAGATTTTGTACATTTACTCCAGGGGGTAATTAGGACATGTTTTTATACTTTGGAAGCAATCTAAGTGTGGTAGATTGGACTTGCTTTGTGAGCTCATTCGGAGCTTTTCGGTATTGTACGGTTGCCCGGTGAGTTATATAGTTAATTGTTACATAYTGATTTGAACATATATATTTTCATATGAATGTTTTTGGTCTTGA